CCCAAGTCCGAAGCGACAGGGTCAGTAGGACATCCGAGCAGCCATGCCTTGGTTCCGTCCTCGTTCATGGTACAGTAGTGCCATCGGTAGCCTGACTTGAAAATTTCGCGCCCCTCAGCCAGCTTTTGCCATCGCAAAGTTCCCAAGTCCAGTGCTGATAAGGAACACTCCTTGGAAGTGATAGTTGCGGCCGGTGTCACAAAGTCAAGTAGCGTGCCTGATGAGTACACATGGAAGTGTATGCCGGACCCTTGTGAGGGAATGTTGGGTCCAGAAATGAACTTGAGAGACGAGATTGTTCCTGGGGCCATGGGTGAAAAGGTCTTAAGCTGAAAAGAAGGTGGATTGACTTGTTGAGTCCGCGAGTTGGCGGCATACCCTGAAGAGCCTACTGCAGGTGGTGGATGCGCCATAGAATAAGGTTGTCTTGGCGATCCAACAGCGCGACTGGTGCCAGATTGACGATCGTATATCCCAACGTGAGGTGCAGAATCAAAAGCCGGACTGCCCTTGAGATCGAGCCACCAGAGGTCGCCAATCTTGTCCATGTCCTCAGACAATCCGCCAAAAACCCACACTCTGTCTCCATAAATGTAGGCAGAGTGGTCGAATCGACCTACGAAACGCCAGGAGCGGGACCAAGTGAAAGTCTTGAGATCGAGATAGCAGATATCGTCAAGAACGTAGTTGTCGTGACCAGTTATGCCTCCAACGATGAATAGTTTATCCTCGTGTAGCACCGCTGCGTGTCTTGCTCGACCCTTGGGCACGGGACCAGTTACCGAAGGTTGTGTCCAGTGTGCGGTTTTCAGGTCAAAAATGATCAAGTCGGAGAGGTAGGTCCGATGCTCGTTTTCGCCGCCAAAGACCAGAAGTTTGTCGCCTTGGTATAGAGTGGCAGTATGACCTGGATTTTGTTAGATCATGGCGGTGGAGGAAGCCGCACTCCGCGACCAAGATGACTTACCCATTCTTACGCCGGGAATATCGCCGTAGTTGTCAACCAAACTCCACTGGTGGCTAACCAAATCCAGCTTGAGGACATGATTGTATACTTCGTCGGTATACTGATCGAAGCCTCCGAAAGCGTAGATATGGTTGTTGCCACAATATGTGACAGAGGCGTTGACAAGGCAAGCCGGTCGCTGGCCCAAGGTCCTTGTTACCCTTGGACGATAGCCATCCAAGGTACCTCTACTCTTGATAGGAGAGTTGGGCATGATGTAGGTGTTGTTGCTTGACGCTGCTGAACCCGGAGTTTGGTCCATCGGAGAAGGCGAAGGTTGCGTGGATGTGTTCGAAGGTTGGTTGGGTGTCGACAGGGCCTGAGCAGCCGGCCCACCGAAGAGGGATTGGGCTAAGGCTCCAGGAGTTGCTGGTGATGGCTGAGGCTGGGCCATGATGGGCAGCGAAGGTAGGGTGGATGCTAACAAATCATCTCAATCGTATGCGAGGTCGCGAAAGTGTTGATGGCTACGGCGTGTAGTTGGCTGAACAGCGTGGGGACGCAGGAGTCGCGGCAGGAGCGGGCAACGCTTTTCTATCGAGTGCAAGTTCGACAGTGGAACGGCAAGCGACAGTGAGATGGGATGAGAATGTCGTCGCACACCGGAGACTGGAGGTGGAGATTCGCTATGTTCCTGCATAGGTTGACAACCCAGGCCTCTTAATTAGGGAATCACGGGCCACCTTCCTGTCTCCAGCCTGCGTCTCTGTCGTGGCAACTGCAGACGGGCTGTGTGCAGGGGACTGGGAGGCTGCTCTTCGTTCATTGGCTTGCCCGGTTTTCGGCGGTTGCGCCCGACTCACAACGGAACCCACGTGACCCATCTCTTTGCCCAAGGTGCCTTACGTCAGCGAACGAACGGTAAGCAGTGCCTGGGCAGTTTCCATGGCAGAGAAGTTTGACGGTGCAACGTCAGAAAGCCCCACTCATGTCAATTTGGCAACGCCGCAACGCTGGCCCAAGCGTCGTTGCCCGGCCGCGATGATGGTGGGGCACAAAGTAAATAAAAGATGATGAGAGCTCCTGTCCAACTTCGAGCTTTCTTCTCTCTATACCAAACCTCTTCACTTCCGCTATCCTCTACTACCTTGGATCTGCTCTCCTACGCTTTCGAGCTGGGTGAAGCTTCTCAATCAAAGCCTTTTCACCAGAACAATCAAGTCCGCTAGATCCCATCGCTGTCTACAGCCATTTGGTCGCCCCTCCGACTTCGAACCCTTCTCGTGACGGCACTACTTCGAGTATCGAGCACAACGACAGAATACTAACAGAACACACCAAACACCCAAAAAAATCTCGATAGAGTTTCTTGGAGCTCTCATCACCTCTTCCCTCGGTGCGCCAAGCTGCACCCGTTGGAGATTCTCCTCATCTTATCACGATACCCCACATACACTACTCACAATGGCCACTGCATCAGTATCCACCCCCATCAAGTCCCACAAGGGTCTCTTTTCTTCCCGCACCGCCGGCGGTCGCATGCCTCTTACACCTTCGCCCCGTCAGCATTCCACCTCTGTTTCGGTGAACCTGAACTCTTCCCCCTTCACCCCTGAGAAGCAGTCTGGCAGCGATGCCTACCGCGCATCAGGCAAGTCAACCTACGGTGGCAATCTCACCGCCCACTTGGCTAGATCCACCACCAACAAGTCGTCTCACCGCGACTCTCCCAAGTCCAACATTGCCAGAGGCGTTTCAACTCCTCGCAGAGCTCTCGAGCTTGGACTGTCCGATTTCACATTGACCAGCTCCGGAACCTCCAAGACACCTTCCAGCGCCAAGTCCAAGAAAACCTCTCACAGGCAAAAGACCAGCAAGACGACTGTCAACTATGGCGGTGACCGCTTCATCCCCAACCGTAGCGCCAGCTCTGCTATTTCCAACGCCGGCAGCAGCAAGCTTGACCGACCCGACAAGCGCTCAAAGGCCAGTGTGAGCGAAGCATCCAACGTTCTCTCATCCGCAACGGAGGACGCCATCGCTGCCCTCGAGGGTCTCAACATTGAGGACGAGGAGCCTTCCACATACTCTCGTCCTTCTCCCAACACCGTTGCGTACCAAGATTCTCTTGCAAGCGCTTGCGGAGTCAGCCTCAACACCCGCATCCTGCAGTTCAAGCCTGCACCCCCCGAATCTTCCAAGCCCATCGACCTCCGCCAGCAGTACAACCGCCCTCTCAAGCCTGCGAGCGCCACATCAGCCCAATTCCGCCGTCGCGTTGCCACTGCCCCTGAGCGTGTTCTCGATGCTCCTGGTCTGATTGACGACTATTACCTCAACCTTCTCGACTGGAGCTCCGGCAACCAGGTCGCCATCGGCCTTGAACGCAACGTCTACGTCTGGTCCGCCGACGAGGGAAGCGTCAGCTGCCTCCTTGAGACAAGCCCCGACACGTACGTCAGCAGTGTTAAGTGGTCTGGCGACGGCGCGTATGTCGGTGTTGGTCTTGGCACCGGTGAGGTTCAGATTTGGGATGTGGCCGAGGCCCAAAAGGTCCGCAGCATGTTTGGTCACGATACCCGGGTTGGTGTTATGGGCTGGAACAAGCACCTTCTGTCCACTGGTGCTCGCAGCGGACTGGTTTTCAACCACGATGTCCGCATCGCCGAGCACAAGGTAGCAGAGCTGGTCTCCCACACTTCAGAAGTTTGCGGTCTGGAGTGGCGATCGGATGGCGCACAACTGGCCACAGGAGGCAACGACAATCTCGTCTCTATTTGGGACGCCCGCTCGCTCTCTGTGCCCAAGTTCACCAAGACCAACCACAAGGCTGCTGTTAAGGCCCTTGCGTGGTGCCCCTGGAACATGAACCTTCTGGCTACGGGTGGTGGCTCTTATGATCGCCACATCCACTTCTGGAACTCCACTTCTGGTGCTCGCGTCAACAGCATCGACACTGGCTCCCAGGTCACCAGCCTGCGATGGAGCCCTCATTACCGTGAGATTGTCAGCTCTAGCGGCTTTCCTGACAACTCCCTGAGCATCTGGAGCTACCCCACGTTAGTTCGCAACGTCGAGATCCCTGCACACGAGAGCAGAGTCTTGCACAGCTGCCTCAGCCCTGACGGTCAGATGCTTGCTACCGCAGGTGAGTCTTGGAAATATGAAACCCAACGATGACAACTGCTAACCACTATCACTTAGCTGCCGATGAGAGTCTGAAGTTCTGGAAGGTCTTCGAGAAGAAGGCTGGTGCCAGTGCTGGTGTTGGCAGCAGCACCTCTTCGGCCAAGGCGGACATGGTCAAGCAGATGACCATCCGGTAAACGGTTCACCATCGACCAAGCCTGGCGAATGTCGGTCAAACGACGTCAATAAATGTAGGTATATCTCCTCTGGCATTTGTCGGTCATGGGTTTCTGGCGGTTGGGGTCATCTTCAGCGAGGAGTTTGGTTTTATTGCATCCGACTCTACGTGGCACGAAAGGGCTTCTCCACGGGAAACGAAATTGCTTGGTCATGAGTAACGACAGAAGATATCATTCATCGCTGTTTAGCATGGAACAGACTTGTAATGCTTGTTTTTGCGAAGGAATTCACCGTCAGGGACGTGCTGTAGTATTATAGAAGACGGCCGCAGTTAAGTGACAAGGACCGCTCTTACGATAAGAAAACCTGGTTTTTTACTTTTTTCTCATACCAATACTTTGATTACGTCTGCTGCTGACCACCTCTGCTCAGCATCTCATTGTTCTTGAGGCGTGCAGCAGGTTATTCTACTTTTGATCAGAGTTGCTTACGGACGACCTGAAGTGCGGTTTACACCCCGCATTCCGGCTTCAACCCACTTCTCAGCTGGCTTATCGGGTTAATTAATGCCTTATCAGTCCCTGCGGGAAGTGTGGATCCTTCAGCGATCATCGCGGTTTGCGGGCACTTTGCAGTTGGCAGGTGCCTGAGTTCAGCCTTCCCAATGTGCGGCTGCCGCCTAAGCTTACTAATAGGCGAGCGCTTGCTTCGAGCCTCAAAACGAAACCCACCGAACAAAGGCAACCTTGACCCGTACACATCACCAAGCGAAAAACAGGGCCCAGCCAGACACCCTGTCTACATCCAAATTACCCGATATCAACCAGCGAGACCTCGTCGACAATCGATTACGTATCCGCCGTTACCGATTTTACACAGTCGCATGCCATTTTGGGCAGCGAGAAGTGGCGGACCAAGCAGGCGGTTCCCCATCGACAACCCAAGAGCAACCTTGTGAGGCGGGTATCGATTGAATATTCTCGACCATTTCCGCGACTTCGTCTTCCAACTTAGTCCGACAATCAGGAAGGAGGGACCAGGTTGGAGAAGGTGCGACCAAAAAACCCGCACATTCCTCTCGTCGGTACCGAAGCTTGACACGACTTTCTTCGACAAACACAGAGTTGACGACGACGACCAACAAACGCCACCATGTCTAACAACGCGGTGGGTAACGTCTACTCACAAATCATCGATGAGGTGATAAATTCTTCTCGGGTCGATTTCGAGGAGGGTGGTGTGGATGAGAGCGTGCTGGAAGAGTTGAAGAAGGGATGGCAGGAAAAGCTCACTCAACTAGAGGTCGCGGCGTTTCCATGGGACCCTGTCAAGGAAGCTCCAGCTCCTGCTGCACCGCCTCCGACTACGGCCGCTCCCCCGCCTGCGGCCCCATACTCTCAGGCCCAGCTCAGTCCGCAACTCCCAGTGCCTGGTCTACCTCTGCCTGGCGGAAACCCGGCTCAACAGGCCAGTAACATGCCTGTAAAGGAGGAGCCTTACATCAAGCCGGAGCCTGGCATGCAGAATGTGCCGATGCCCCCCTCTCAACAAGACAGCGCTGGGCTCGCAGCTTACCGAGCCGCTCAACATGTGCGCGGTCAGTTCGGCGAAAAAGGCGCCGCCTCCATGAACGCCATTCAAGCTTCAGCGACCAACAGGCCTGCCAACCAACCGCCTCTGCCCCAAATGCCCGGCCAGGCTCAGCAGCAGCAGCAACAGCAGTACCGCCCCGGAGTTCCTCAACAGGGCCAGCCTCAGCAGCGCCCGCCTAGCAACGGTCAGCCAGGTGTGAATCCCTCGCAGACTGACGGTGCTGGCGACGACTTCGACTTTGAAGGTGTTCTGCTCCAACGCAACCCTGATGGGTCTCAACGCGAGATTGGACGTGTTGATATTGATCGCATGATTCACGCGCGGATTGCTGCCAACGCCAAGAGCATGGAGGGCGGTGGCTTGATGCTGCCTCTTAAGGAAGCCACGAGACATTCGTCGGCTGCTACCGCACGGTCCAAGGGCAAGGAGCATGGTGGAATTGCCGCATACGATGGTTACGATGATGACGAAGTTGACGAAGATGCAATCAACTCAGATCTTGACGACCCTGATGAAGACAAGGATGACGACGAGGTCGACGATGAGGGTCTTGGACATATCATGCTCTGCATGTACGACAAGGTCCAGCGCGTCAAGAACAAGTGGAAGTGTGTCCTCAAGGATGGTGTTCTCACCGTCAATGGCAAGGAGTACGTCTTCCACAAGGCTACTGGCGAGTACGAGTGGTAAAGAACCTGACGCGCTTTGCACGACGCATCGACGCTTTTCAGGCGTATGAGGAATGGAGTCTTTTCGACTCTTTCGGTGCCGCTTCATTGCCTACCCAATTTCGATCTTGTAGACTAGCAGAGGGCAGAGGCTAAAGATCAGCCACACGCCCAAAAATTCAGCATCGTTCAATTTGATTTCTTTATCTTTCGAGATGGCAGTCGACGCCAATTTCCTAGTGCAATGCCTCGAAACTGTTCGCAATACAATAAGGCGGTTTCGCAATTTGGTCTCTGTCTTCCATTACCACCAGGGAGCGCGGCTGCAACCCATCGCATCCCAAGGCATATGCATCTCGAAGCGCAAAGGCATGCTTTGGGAAACGACTTGAGAGCTATGCTATATTCACAGAAACCAAAGGAGGGACTGAGAGCTTGGAGAGGTTCGACCGAGGACGGGCTTCTATAGGGAGGTGGAAAGATCAAAATGAAGACTCGCTCCAGCGAAGTAGATAGAGAAGACGGATCAGGGCAAATTGATTTTTCCTCTGTGTCGTCGGTTTTGATTGGAATGCAGCAGACCCCTTTCTTTCTTTGCACGACAAAAGACAAATCAACAAGATGAAATCCAATCTCCAAAAAAGAAAAACGTGTACAACTGCAAGAAATCATGGAGTCGTTTCCGACTCTCTAGAATAGAAATCTGCTGCCACGAAGTATGCCCCGTCCCCTAAATACCTATCGGCCCGCTGCTCGGCCTTAATGTGAGAAGTGAAATGCTCCAATATCAGTCTTTGCCCTCGGTGAAACGTACCCTGCCGTCCTGTCTTAACCTGATGATGTACTCTTATGCCTTCATTGCCCGCAGCCTCACCCTCATTTCCCCTCACCCTACGTTCACCCCTTACACCTTGTGCCCTCTGATACGAATGCTATCTATACAAGCATGTAGAAACTCGGCAGTGTGCCGCCTTTTGGAATCATATCAAACGAGACCTGATGAAATGTTTTCCTTCTCTCTACTCCGTATTCGCCTTGATGTCTCTGTTTCAAACTCTAACCTGCCCTTGCGGCCCCTTCCTTTCGGTCCAAAACACTCCCTTCCCGCTGTGATGCTGTTTTGATCAAGATGCCATGGGTGAGTGAGACAAGAGAGAGGCACAGATGTGATCAAACATCAAAGTGTGATTGATCAACAGAAATGTCCTCCCGGCGTCAGCCACGTCCAAGAAGTCACGAGCTCAACCAGCCAGCCAGCCAGTCAGCCGTGTGTCGTCCTGTCTGTGATATCGGTCTGGCGCGCTCGATCCGTTCCGTGGAGTGAGATTCACATTCCTCGTGGCGGGGAGTTAACGGTTCGGAGGTATCTCTATCTTGCACTTTGTGGATATGGGGAGTCAGCTCTACCCTCTGCTAGCCCTTGTCCTTCGGCCTCGGCCTCACTTTCAAACAGCCATTCCGAAGTCCTGGAATCCTTGGTAGGTAGCCCTCCTCCCTCCCGGCACAAATCATCCAGACATGTCTCCAGATTGCAGATTTGCTCAAACATTGTTGTAGATGCTCACAAAGCTTGACTGAGTATGGCTAGATATCATCGAAACCAAAACAAAGAGGAAGGGATAGGGAAGAGCCCGTGGCATTCAGATGCTCATTCGTCAAGTAGGAGATATGGATTCACGGCACAAATAAGGCTGAAAAACCAGGCTCACAGTATCTCAACCAAGATCCCAAGGAACAGACACCGAGACGTGGTGTTTCAGTATCCGAAAGGGTACGCAGAGTGATTGACAGGTGTGATAATGAAGTATTCCCTCTCGTCTAGATGAACACCATTTGGTGTAGACGGCAGCTGTTTAGATGGGCATAGAAAGAAGCATTTACGTAGCGATTGAACCACAAATGCCATCTTTCGCAAGACACTGCGAGGATTGGTTCATTTCGTCCAAACCCAATCAAATACGTTGATATGAGAGAGATGATCAAATCCTCTAGGTATTCCGGTGCCCTCGATCATAAGTAGATCTCCGTTGGGCCCTGAGCTTGGATTCCCAATTCAAGCATCGAAATGAGATAACCCCCCCCCCCCCTTCCCCGTGAAAAGCACCCCAAAACACCAAGCCATCGGTCCGTTCCACGAACACCCCCCACTCTGGAGACTACCAGTAGAGGCCAGCGGCTCATAGCGAACGCAAACGCCACACAAGCCATCCTTAATAGGCGGGCCCCTGGGACCCGGGAGATGGCTTCCGCCGTGCTCCCGACAGCAACACGATCGACTCGATCCGTACCTCCAATGCTCCATGGCAATGTGGTTCGTCCTCGGAAATGATGACCTCACGAAACCTCCAGCTCGCGTCCCTCGGCTCGGCTATCCAAGGAGTCGAGCCTAGGGGCCCACGGGGCAGTCAGATTGCCACGGGCAGACAATCGATCTCATCGGCTACAGGACATCGGAAAACCTACGTATCCGTAGGGCCTAGGCTAGATCAACCCGAGGACGGCCAGGAGGTGGGTGGTGGTGGTGAACCATGGCCCATGGTGGCCGTTATTCTGCTTTCCGATAACAGGGGAAAGTTTGGTTCTTCACCACGAATAGTACAACCTCATAATGTAGGTTGCGCTAGAAGAGGGATAGGAGTAACCCGGGAGCAAATCGCGTCTACCCATCTCGGCCTTATTCCGACTTGGTGGATACCGACCAAGTACCGACGTTGCATTCTGCAAAAAAGGCACTGGTAAGACCGTAAGACTGAGGAAAATCTCGAATGGCAAGTCCGTAGAGCTGCGACTTTGTAGTGTATCCATCCGCAGTTCCGGACCCTCACGGATAGAATATAGCAAAGACCGCATACCCTAGGCCCCGTCAATCGCCAACGGACGGCTCCTCGGGCTTGACCACCGAGCAATCACCGGAGAGCCCATCATGGGACCCTAGAAGGTGATGAGCTCTCCAAAACCCGGCCTATGGGTTGATGGGGCCTATGGATCAGCGGCGGGCACAATCTGATGGGATCATCAGCAAGCAGCCCTTCAAAAGTCATCCACCTGTGTGTAACCCTCACCGTAGCCGCGTGTTTATTTAAGCGCTCTGCTCTGTGTTCAAGTAGGAGATGCTCGTCACTGCTGTCGTCCTCCGACGAAGCTGCGATGGATATTCGTGCAAACCCCCATGGTCTTGTCCAGCGGAGTTTCGTTTAGATTGCATGGCCGTTTGAGATTCGCTTCATCATCGGAAATCCCTTGGAGAAGTATGGATAAGGGAATGGCTCACGGAGCCACAGATCGTCGTGTTCCTCTCACCAAGCCCCACTGGCGATTTTCACGTCAAGCCTCTTGAGCCCCGCCGTTTCCGATTACACAATCGGAATTGTGTAGCATGCATCGACCGACGATGTACTCCGGACGGAGCAAGCTCTAGGTGATACGGACCACCATCGGCGAGTGCACTTTGCATACGAGCCTCAAACACCTGTACACACGCCGTGGTACGGCCCGTTGAGGGTCCTCGATGCGCGTGCAGCGCATCAAGACCGGCCAGGGTATCCGTATTCAGACATGTTACGACAGACATGGTTCCACTTTCGACGAATGGGCGAAACGCCTGGTTTGTTTGTGATGTACTTCTTCGTGGTTGATTATCATAGAAGTGGAAACCAAGTTGTACCAAGGGCGCTTACAATCCGCTTTAAAATAATGTTGCTCATCCTTCTCTTATCAACCAGGGAGTAGCCATAGCTATTTTGAGACGCCTGCCGACGCGTCAAATGGTTGGTGGTCTGGTACCACAGCTCGTCATCGTTGGTCAGCTTTTGAATCCGTGTCGAATGACTCTGGGCCAGCCTCAGCAGAGACAGTAGAGACTTTTCGATATTTGATCAGGTATTGAGCTTCATCCAAGCCACTCGCTACTTCATCTTGTTTCGATGTGGCTTGCTGGTCGGTGATCTGTTTGGTTGAGTTGTAGCTAGTTGCAGAACAGTGTAGAGCCGCCGCATCGTCAACATAGACGCTGAAACTAATTTCGCAGGGCTTCCACCACTAGACCAATATACCCTTTTCAAGTAAATATTCATAAAGTGGCCGTTGTCAATGGATACAGCATCACCCCGTCAAACGTCACTCAAAGAGCGAATAAATGGTGAAGGCTTGTAGAGTCTGCTGCCGAATATGCTGTAGGCCTCGCGGCGAGCATTGTCCTCAACCCTCACCTAGTGTAGAAACGTCTTTGGAGATAAATTAAGATGAGATGAGCTGGTTGTAACAATGCTGACTGGTGGACAAACGAAGTCACGTCAACCGACCAATTGAGAAACGCACCTTGTGCTAGTTATTCTCGAAAGACTAAAGGACAGGGCGTGCTGGCGCAGAACCTGGACCCGAGAGCTCGGAACCGCTATTGCAGGATCGCGTCTGGGATCGCGTTCCCTGTCGGTCAGCTTCACTCGGGAATTTTGTTGTTTGTTGTTTTTCGCACCGGCTCCGGTTTGCTACTATAAAGAAAAGGAGTCCAATTGGAGTGAGCGGCTGTGACTCCGGCCCATGTTCGTGCTGTGATAGACTGCCGCTGGACTGTGCCGCGTTCCTGTTGATTGTCTTGCCAGGCTTGCCAGGTCACACTTGCGCTGTCTGCGTGATCATCCTGTCGCAGATTGCAATCGTATTCGGTGTCATTTGGGTATCGTTAAGTGACGGGTGGTTCACCGCATTGAGTATCGACCAGGCAAGGATCTAGGATACACATTGTGAGGCGATTAGCTCAGCCTGTTCTCCAACAGAAATTCGATGTTGCGTCTTTGCGCCGACGTTGGCGGCGCAGCAGATCGCCTATCCTCTTGACGCATTGTGATCGGCAGGCAAGATTCAACGGCGGTACCCAGCCATAGCCGCCCTGCGAGTCCTGACCGCTGCTGTGATAGCATGGGATCAAGTGAAGGGGAGCCAACTTGATGTAACGTCGCTGAACCTGTCCGAGAGGCTCCGGTGAACAGCACCCTGGTTTTCAGTCCTGTGTCTCCAAGATGTGCAGCAATGATCGCCACTAGAACCTCAGGAATGTTGCCCTGCCGTCTGCGCGCCACTTGTGTGACAAGATCTGGCTGTCCGTCGACGACAGCAACGTCAAACATGGCTTGGTTGAAGACCGAAGCCAACCAGATTGTGCAGGCAATCTGAGCAGACCATTCTCCTTTGGCGCATCAACTGCCGAAAACCTGACCCAGACTGTCCATCAGGGTTGAACCATGCCAAGTTAATTCGGAGTACATGAACTTGCGCCATTCTGGAGGAAAGATGGAAAGATTCAGGTGCGTTGGGTAATCAGTCCCCAAGTCCCATTAGTCGAAGTAGGGTGGCAGGGGTTGAGTACATAGAAATAGGCAGTCAGCCCATTTGCCTGTCTGGATGGGTCAAAAAATTGCCAATAAGCAAACCCTTGTTGCCGTTATGCAGCGACCTAGCAAAGACTGGGATGCCCGCCGAACCCCGTTGGATGCTCGACTGCTGCGCGTCAACATCGATGCCTGCCTGGCTCGTCAGACGATGTAACCAACGTCTATCTATACGGAGTATGGCTGGACGATATCCGAATACTCTCCGTGTACAGTACAGCAACGGCGCGGATATGCGGTAGCTCCAACTCCAACTGTTTGGATCCCTCCATGGCAAATGGTACTCTGTGGGGCAGAATAATCCGCCCCATTTACTTGATGAAGACGTCGGTACAAATAACTTGTTCGTAGGATAATGGCGGCCGCCTCATGGCACTACGGTGGACTATCTCCCAGAGCTTCAGGCGATCGTTTTACCGCCTCTGGCCTTGAACAATTCGCCTCCTTGTCGAGCCATGAGCAAGTTCTGGCCTCTGATTGACAATTACGAGTAACTTCAGATGATTTCAAAGTGCGGGGAAGACTCGGATGACTCGAGCTCGAGCTCGTTAAATTTTGACCGTCGTGTCTAGACGCTTAGCCCTCCAGGCGACCAGAAGTTGGTTGATGCAAAAGTCCCTCCATGTCACCGATCATGTTCGATTAAGGTTTGGCGCCGTCCATGCCACCTGAGGTCTCGAGACTAGTTGATACCTCAGTCAGCAGGTGGAGGGTGCTTCCTCACATTAGTCATTCCATTGCTCTGGTACCGCCTGGTCCTCGTCGAATTCCGTTTGAGTGAGCGTTACCATGGTGCGCGTTTGTATATGGTGTGTGAGCAAATGCACCCTGCTCTGGCTCAGGGCAAGGATTTGCCAACCCGGCAAATTGGAACACGGCAAGAAAGGAGATGCTTGGAAATTTCAAAGCGTGTCGTCCGTGGAGGCTCAGCTTCGTACACAGGCCCACGCGTCTTCCTTTTGTTGTTCTTCTCGCCCGAGGTTGTGACTCAGTTGACAGGCTTCCGCAGTCGTGGCTGACGCCGGGGTGAGTAGCGGGCAAATGCAGAACCAGAGTGTCGGGTCGTTAGTCTCAGGGGTCAAGGGTCGAGGAGCGTCATCACCGCTGCCAGCTCATCTAACCCCGACATCAGCCTCAGACAGTACCACGGACCCCGGGATGTTTTGGTATGCAGCCCCGAACAGAAGCGGGAAAGTCGTGGAACCGAGCCAGCAACGGCCAATCACCCGGCTAGGACCAAGACACAACCCATCCATCGTCTCGGTCCAACACGACCATGCTGGAAAGAATCGCGAGTCCAATTTCGACTGCTAAGGACTTGGGCAGGCGTGCCACTGATACTCTCACTGACCAGCGACTGTATCCATCCATGTGAGCCTAGGTGGGCGAGTCGAACGCCTCCACGCCTTTCCGGGCTGGGACCTTGCGGAACAAAGATTGCAGGGAAACCATCCGGAGAGTACTTGTGCTAAAGGCGAACAGACAAAGGTGGCCAGGGTAGCTCCTCGACCGCCCCCATCTCCTGGAAATAACACCGCTGGTGCCGATCGGTCCCAGGCTATTGGAACCGTGGCTTCGGATGATTCGTACCCCTTGGACATGGGACCTCGACACCCAGCGATCGCGTCGGCCGCTGCAAAAGTGTACTGTGATTCGTTTATTCGCACTCGACTCCGTCTGGCAGCCTAGTAGGACCAAGGCCATTCCAAGGTCCCTGTCAATGATTCCTGTGATGCTGTTTCAAGGAGGTTGGTGACATGCGATGGAAATGGATCGAGCCCCGATTGCCGCTGTAGGCGGGGTTTAATGGCTGCTTGGTACCGTACAGGTGTGCCCAGGCTCCTGGGACTGCATCTTGGAAGTGTTGGGCACGAGAGGTGTCTCAAATGCCCAGGAGCTTGCATCCGTATCTGTAAGGTGAAGGGCAATCAGCGTCACGAGAACACATGGCCGTGACATGACCATGACTGTGAAGGAGCGGTATGCTGCCAGTGTCACCTTTGATACGAGACCTCGTTGGTCCAGCAGTGTCATTCTATTCTTTGAGAGCCACGGCGATACACACATTCTTCGTCTCTCGAGTCGACGGATACCTTTCCCTTGTACGTAGAAACCGTCTGGGGATTCTCATTTCTTGTGGTACACACAACGGGAGCTCTCGTTCCAGAATGAAACAAAAGACCGATGTTGGGTGTTCCCATCTCGTGAGGGCGGACGCTGAGGGGGGTGCGGATCTGATCCAGTACTTTGGCTCCAAAGACCATGTGCTCATTGCAGACTGGGATACAAGCAGGCATCGTGGCCCAGGCTGCACTGGTGGACAGTCTAGTGTTTAATTGGCCAATATCAGCAGCCTACCGCCTTACACCGCTTTGCTGCAGGGCCAAGCGAGTTATTCGGATACGTGCTCGACTTCAAAAACATCTTCATGAGAGATTCAGTGCTGCGGTTGGTGTGCCTCTGACAACTCATGCTCTATTGGACCACTTGGATCTGTCTTGGAAAGGCCGTGTTTTGATCAACTTCTAATCCAGACATGTGCTGTCATGGTGGATGAAGTAATGCTTTCGCGGTAGAGTCGGAGCCATCTGGAGGCGCAAGAAAATTCCCCTCCCATTTACTGCGGTACGTGACGCGAGGTTGCGAATAAGGTGGCGTAAGACTCCTTGCAGGATTTGTCTGCGTTCCGGAAAAGCTGTTGCCAGCTTGGGCGAGGTAAGGGGTGGAAATTCCGAGAAGCTGGGTGCCACGACGTCATCCCTGCAAATACAGGAAATGGTATGCGTACGACGGTGTGGAACGTGGATATTGTAAGGATTTGTTAGATATTGTTAAAAGCTCCGTGAACAGGGCCGTTACAGTAATCTGTACCATGTCCGGAACGCTATTCCTAGCCAGGACGAATGGGACTTGTGTGATGCTGGGTACCAAGCAGGCTGGCCACTGCGTGCGGAATTGAGGTTTCTCTAGGCACTTGTTAAGGGGGCCGCATTCCGGATGACAGGACGCACCGTGTGGAAAGAATTATCGCAGTGATTCCCCACTACCAATACTGACGCTAACTAGTTGGAGACCTCATGGGAGAGGTGAACTTTGCCCGGGTTGTTGGTATTCCTGGCCGTTTCCTGCGACAAGCCATCCAAAATTACAGTCCATTTCCTGGTCGTCGGCATTTGTCTTTAGGTATTCGACCTTTGCTAAAGCACATATCTGAGCGGCCTCCGCGAAGAGCTAGGCATATGGGCTTCTGGACATATTCAGGTGGTGACGGTCGAGATGGGATCGGGTGGATCCTTGAGTCACTTATTGGCTGGGTATTCGCACGGATATCGTGGTCTCAGAATGAACGGCGTATGGTCTGGTTGTTTCCTCGTCGCAGCGTCGTGTTTTGGGCTCAAATTGGGCAGGTGACCTGGAAATGATCGTGCCACACTTCTCTCAACTTTCTTGGAGAGATACCGACTGTTAGAGTCCGCGATGTTGAACATGGATATGATAGCCCAAGACAATTGCCAGAGACCATTGTGTAACAAGATGGCATCGTGAGATACTGCCGTAATCAGTACTCCTTTAGCATGCATCTTCGGAAGCATTCCGTCTTGTGTCGGAGAACTCGAGGAGGGGTATCCAGTGAGCTGTCTCGAACCTTGAGACAAGTAGAGTGGATGCAACACAGCCTTGTGCCCTGGATGAGTTGATAATTGAGCTGTTAAATGCGCGGACTGTCGGCAATGGTGTCTTTCTGCGGCCAGGCATGCAAAGTGAGAAGTTGATCCAAGTGCGGACAATGGGTCAGAGCTGGTTGACCGATGGATAAATGTTCTAGACGCATCGTCATCCGGGGGATGTTGTTGATGGGAATACCATAATCGAAGTCAAGCATGGAAACCACAGGGGGAATTTCTGATGGTGAAGGTAAGGTAACTGATGCAAAGGAACGCAAGCATTGCTAGGTACACATCTAAGCAAATACGTATCCAAGCCTGATAGCCAGTGGCAGCAACGTTGGAGGCAGATGCAGGTCGGGAAAGGAAAGAATGACGGAGAGGACGCAGGCACTTAGAGGACGTCCACGTACCTAGAATCGGGACAAGTAGGTAGTACCAAAGGTAACGTCCGGGTTCATGACCGCCCGCTCCGTGCAATGCTTGTGCTTTCTTAACAAGGCAAACTACAGTGGACCAGGTGAAGATGTGGTAAAGATGGCCCAACCAAGCGGCATATTGACAAAGAGGAGATTTCGAGGTTGTCCGTCCCATTTCCCAGCGTTTATCCGAAAGAGTTGGGTGGTTGGTAAGGTACGCCAACCTGCTTGACACGCTTGACACTGACTGACACTGACAGGCGTGGAAGTACGGATCCAATACCTAGGCGCGAATACTTACATGGACAATCTTTTGCCCAGCGCTGGCCCGCTTATAGCTTCGCACACAATGCGCTTGCTTGACTGCACATTCACTACCCATGACACCCATGCGACCATGCCAGAATGCTCAACTCGTTGAGCCGAATCCATCTTTTTTCCACCGAATCAGGATCGAGCGGAGGAACGCGCGATGAAAATGGGGGCGCGGGAAGAGACACAAGGGGCCAGTAGGTGGGGGGCCAAGGGCCAAGGGGGGGCTTCCCCCCTCAAGACGGCTTGCAGGGTATATCTCCAAAATGTGGCCGGGGTGAGGCGGGAACAGGGCTTCCTCCAGGGCTCCCAGCTGTTTCTACAAGTACACCGTGGAACCCCGGCCAGCACAACCTGGGCTTTTGCAAGGGATCACCAAGACACAGTGGACGGGCACTAAGACCAACCGCCGTGTAAAGTTGTTGCTGGCAGCCCGTGGTATGTAGTCGGGGACGCAAGCCCCGGGTACTCTGTTGGACGCCACTGGGGAGAAGAGCAGGGTGACATGACTTGACGTCTCTGAGCTGCTCGTTACGGAGTACCTTAGGAACAGGAGGTATTTGTATCTGTACGGATAGAGAGGGGTGCCAATACGTGATCTCGGTTGACTGGAAAAAGCCTGGACCAGCTTAGAATGAGGTGGTTGAGCTCGGTGCCTTGAGGTACGATATCCGTCTTGAGATACGTACCCCGAACTGGGTGAGGTTTTCGACACATGGCGTCTGGCCTTTGATACATATCGAAAACCAGATTGCCAGGTCGCACACGATGCTTGCTTGCCTTGATGATCCTGTCTGCCTGGCTACCCATACAGATACCTAGTACGGATAGGTCCAGTACTAGTGTATGGAGTACGTTGTGGGTAATGGGTGAAGGAACATGAGGGTGGGAATCTGAAATGGGCGGGCGGATACTTACCCCCTGACTTTCTCCACCAAACCTGCCCTACTGGTAGACGTACAGTAGCGCCGTAGTCCAGGTAGTAAAACACAAAGAGGGAGGCTGGACGGGCGAAACAGACGCCTGGTTGAGAGTCGAGACATCAGGCTGGGGAATGGACGCGGCTGGGGTAGACGGCCGTGGTCTCAGGTCGAATCAGTCCAAGACTGGAGATACCAGGTCAAACCTTATGCTCTTTGTCACAGGAACAGTAAGCCCGAATCTCAAAAGTGAAGATGAACGAGAGAAGACAAAAACAAATGGTGAAAAGGGTAGAGTTGGAACAGTGTTTTGGTCATGCGGAGTGGCCAACGCCGCATCTCGAGTCAATTTCTAAGGTAGGTACTTACCTCAGGAAGCAGTGTGCTGTGTGGTGCACCTCAGAGTGAGAGTGCAGAGTGCAGTTGAAGACGCTCCTTCAGTGGCACTGATTGCCGTACGCTAGAGCCATTTTGGCAAGGCAGGTTTATTGCAGACTATGCCGACTTGGTCCAAGTCGAATCTGCCTATCCATGTATAGATATTGAACATGTACTTTGAGATACGTACTCTTTCTTTGTGTTGGACTAGGGTTACGAAAAGCTAAGTATAGGTAGGGCAGGAAACTTGAGGGGCATGGTATGGAACGGAAGGAAAGATGGGTAATGGCAACGTGGGATGGGAAGAGGAGAGAGACCGGGAGTAAGAGCAGAAGAAAGAACAGAGTCGGTGAAGAGCACGAAAGAAGGGTAAAGGCAGTGAGACAGACACACAACTCAAGGCAATGCTTGAAAGAGGACTAAGCAACGAAACCCCAATGTCTGTTCACAACTCAAAGAGACTATGTAGTAGGCAGTCGTCAGTCGACGTTTCTGCTCGAGGTGAAGTAATTCCAATGTATGGGTAAGATGAAGAGACGGAATGAAGAAGAGAAAAGAGAAATTTAAACATTGGAACTGGGTACAAGATACCTAAGGTAAGGAAGGTACTTTAGGACGGGATGACCCAGAAGGAGGGTTCCAAGTTTCCTTTTGCACCTTCCGTGCTTCCATCATCGTGTGTGCTACCTTCCTCCATCACCCACCACCTCTTTCCCCTTTATTTTCAATCGCCTTCGTTGGAGCACAGACCCCAACGCCTCGCCTTCCTTGTCTTGCTTCATTCACCTAAGGTAACCTACCCTCGAATCCATCTCATGATCCTCCACCTTACCTCACCTCAACTTCTCAACCAACTGAGCCCGTATACCGCGTGGTACGAACAGACTACCTCACATCGAATTCGTCATTTATGAAGCTGCGGTCCATCGGGCGCCTTGCCTTGCATTCCCATCTCCTGCTGCAAGTTGTCTTCCGCCAGCTCGATTCTGCTCCCTCCAGTCACCACCTATCAAGGCGCTGTCTGTCTGTGCAACACCCCGGCTAGCTGAGGAACACGGACTCGGCTTGCATTCCTCGCACACCTTTTTTTTTTTTCTACACCTGGCCTACGGGGTACGGATACCTTGCCATCTTCGAGCTGGTCCGAACTGGCTTCTCGATATATTCTTCATCCATTATATTACGCGGAGGCCCTGCTCAGGGTTAAGATTGCTTTCAAGGTAGGAGACAAGCCCCCTTTCCGCATTTTCTGTGCTTTTATCCAAGTGTCATGATCCATGACGGGCTGGGATTGGAAGAGCCTGGGGTGCTTTTCTCGAGGGAAAAAGTGACATGGTGAAATGGAGACAGATGGAGTGGGACGAGTGGAAAGCCAGGCCTTTTGATGGGCGACAAACCACGGATAGACCAACGACAATGACACGGGCAAGGCTCTGGAAGTCCACAGAAGAAACGGACCCTGGAAGCGCAATTACACCAGCCCGCTGACCGTCAGCGTTTTCCCACCCTCACGTTACAAGCCATCATCTCCAATTCTAGCTCCAGTCCCAGCTCCAGCTCCAGCTCCATCACATCGGGCGTCCTCAAGTCTCCCGACAGGGGTGGCATCAACCCAAAATCCCACAGCAGCCATGGGAATTGCATGCGCCAGCACCAGCGCCAGGAACAGGGAGGGGCAGGACACACTCGCGCGAGGACAAGGAGAGAGAGGTATCCGTGGAATAGGCAGAAACAGAAGCAGAAGATGACGATTAAGAAACCCACTAATTCTACTTAACAGCGGACGATCCCCCGAGCTACGGGAAGCGGAGAGCAAACTCTAGTCCACGATTACCTTGCGACGTTTCTCTTCTCAAGAGCCGATATTCAACAGCATCCGGCAGCCTAGCCTTCAATCCGAGAGTCCCTGCTCTGCTGCATTTCACACCTCTCACACCCACAGACCTCACAGAGAGCGTCGTAGGCGCCGCCACCGTTTGTCCGCCGGTCCACCCACTCCAAAGCTAGATTTGCTTGACGCAACTCCTACCAACAAGTACTTGTCAACGTTGACTTCCAAAGCCTTCAGATACCCGCGTTGACCTTGCATACGGATACTAAAATTACACCTCACACCTGCCGGTGCACGTACACACGTATACACATACATCCACACACGCCACCACTCGTTCTCTACTCTAGAAACGTTCTAGGGCCAAAGCACAGAAAGACAAGCACCAACACCCGGGACTTCCAGCGAGCCAGCCAGCCACAACTAGGTGGAATTAACAGAGAAGCTGCCTTTCTCTCCATCTGCATCACTCCGTCCTCGCTTGTTCACTTGATCAAGTCCAGGGTCCCCCCCTTCACAACGTCGCGGAGAGACGCATAGACACATCTGCCGTAGCACGATTGTAGTCCACACGACCGGCTATTTGTACCTTACCCACCGCGGTTTACCACCTCTGCCCGTTGTCAGGTCCTCCAAGTCAGGAGCTCCTTGCTTGCTGCAGCGGTTCTGCCCTCTATACAACAAGAGAGAAGAGCGAGCATCCCTACCTCCCTTGTCTTTCTGTTGGATTACATCTTCCCTTTCTTTTACTCCATACATCCCATCCCATCAGATCGCTGCTGCTCCTCCCGCTCCCGCCCGTCGCCAAAACGAACCCGACTTGACCCAACCTGCCCAACGGAGACTTGAAGCTCGTCTCGCCCGCGTCGACTTGCATCACATCTCGTCACCCTGCAGCGTCTTCGCCCACGACCACAATCAGAATCACACTTCGAAACCTCAGCCTTCGACCTTTGATCCGAGCCTTGACCGCGGTACTGGCCAATTTCACCGCCCTGTTCACAATATCCTTGCATCTCAAATCGACTGGACAGCTTCAGCTATCGCCTTGGCCTGATCGCATTTTGGCTAGGTCTATCACGTCGCTTACTTTATAATTCCCAAGTCGGCCCATCTCATCGCCAAGATATCGAGATAGAAGGTCGAGGTCGCTCTGAAACTCCAACCCCAACCCAGCCCGACCCAACCAACGGCTTTTCGCCTTCTGCGACGCCTCTCGTCGTTTCGCAACCTATCAATTTCCTGGCCAATCTGCACACGACGAGAAAGACGCCGAATACCGCAGCACCGGACCCGGTCTGTACAACCTCTCCAACTTGTTGTGCGACATCAATTGACTCGCTCGACGTCCTAAGCGGTCGAGGAAGAAACCTCGCTCTCCATCCCAAACATGTACGTCAACTGCTGTCTGCTTTCCTTCCGTCGTCTCACCTGTTCTCTGGACCAACCCGACCGCATGTCACCTGTTTAACTTGTCTGCCTGCCTTTGAACAACCTTCGCCGTGAGGGATACCTCATTCGTGTCCCCGTTGTCAACTTCAATGACACTTTGGTCGGTGAAAAATGCTTCTGCCTGGTCCCCTATCTAGCCCACCCCTTCTACAGCATATCAAGAAGAAACCTAGGAATGGGTATGTGGACAAGCTGAGCCTACCTCTCCACAAACAGACACAGTTGCACACATGCATTCTGCACAATTGCCTTACACCCCCAACTTCGAGCAGGCTGATGCTGCGACCGTTTACATGCAGGTACATGTACTGGTACGCTGTCAAGGCCCAGCATTCGGCCCTCTCCTCTGCCCTAAGCTCCTGCACCTCGACCCCTGTCATTTTCACCATCCATACCACTATGGAGGGCAAAAGCTGCTCTGCAGCTCTTCCTCTCTCTCTCTCTCTCTCTCTCTCTCTCTCTCTCTCTCTCTCTCTCTCTCTCCTCCCTCTCTTTTTTTGGTCGCATCGTCGCCAGCCGTGTTGTTGGCTGGGCATCAAGTTGGAGTGTCGCGCCAGCAAGGTTATTGTGCAGCGAAGGGACCATAATCACCCAAATGCAGAAGGATGCGTTCGATCCGATGTAGGCGCGCGCTCGCGGGGATGTGTTGGTCGACGCAAGTGCAAGTGCAAGCGTGGCCTGGTCGAAGAGAGAGTCTCATGTGCGTTATCGTTGTGGTGAACAACGCCATGTGTGTGTGATGGCGTCGGTCTTGAGTAAGAGAGGCGCCTGGCTACCTACGTACCGACGCAATTCTCTTGAGAAATACAAGAAGCTGGTAGGAGTCGCCCAACTCAGACGCGGGAACAAGACTCTGGCTTGATCACAGCTTCCTTCATTGCCTTGCCCCCTTTTTCGACTGGCGTCTGTTACATTTGGCCGTCTGTCGTTTCCCTCATTCCCGGTACCAACCTTCATGACACGAGACGGGGCTTCTGCTCAGGTCACATTTCTCCATAAAAGGCAGTCGTACTGGCAGTGTTATTCCCTGGATGCCATCAGTGTGTGCTCCCATCGACTTGCAGCCGCCTGCACTGCGACCATCATTTCGTTTCGTTTCCCATTCAAGACTTACTACTGCACGCACACTTTAAATTGCCCGCTGCTCGATTCCACTTCTCCAGGTCCAATCCCCTTTTCATGTTTCAAAGTCACCAGCTTCACTTCACACCTTGCCTATCAGCCCATGGTCCCTCTCCTCACCACGCGGACGCGAGCTTCATCGTAAACTTACTAACTTACAGAAGCCAACACCATCACTGCACCGCAACGAAACGAAACGCCGGCGGTGTGGCAAGAAGCTCAATTATAGCAGCACTCTCTTAGTTCCCGGACGTTGGTGATAGATCGACTTGCTGCTTTCACGCGCATCGCCCGTCACCTGTTGATGCAAGTCCCGGAGAGAGACTAGAAATCAACTATAGTCGACAAACAATTTTGACTCACGTTGCCTTTCGCATGGTAACAATGTCACAAAACGGGTACGCCATGATGTCAACACGACGGTGCAATTGCTGCTCTGGACACGATCAGAACACAGCGCTAACGTGCCATCTACAGTGGGACTGTTGGTACCGAGTACCCTGACTACACTGAGCATGGCCGCCAGTATGGCTCATTCGGACGCGGGCGGTATCTTTTCCCTGTCGATGAGGTAGGTTACCTATGATTCCTCGCCGCGGTAAATCTTTCCCCATGCTAACTCACTGCGAAGCTCGAGAAAGACAGGCTAGACATCTTCCATCATCTGATCACCAAGGCAAGAGGAGGCCTTTGGGAAGTACCTCTGCCCGCCAAACCCCATGTCCTTGACCTCGGGACGGGCACTGGCATTTGGGCGATCGACGTGGGCGAGTAAGATTATCCACCCGATCCCCCGTGCGCCGACTGCTAGAACCTAGACTTGCTGACACTATCACCATAGTAAGCTATACGTAAACGAAGATCAAAGGGCTCAGGTCTTGGGGCTCGATCTTTCCCTCATCCAGCCCAAGCTGTATGTTCTGCATCTCCTTTTCTACCGTTCTTCGTAGCGAAAGCTCATCGTTTTATAGGATCCCTACGTGTGTAAGGTTTGAGCGAGCCGACGTGGAGGCGCCACTGCCAGCTCCGGAACAAACCTTCGATCTGGTTCATATTCAGATGCTGCTCGGTTCCATAAGAGATTGGCCAGACCTATACAGGAAGTCATTCCGGCACATCAAGCCCGGAGGTTATATCGAACAGGTGGAAATCGAATGGATTCCTCGCAGCGACGACAACACTCTAACGCCTGATTCGCCTCTCGTCTTTTGGGGTGAGAACTTGCGGCATGCGATGCACAGGTACGGGCAATCTATCGATATAATCGACACGAAAAAGGAGCTCCATGCTGCAGGCTTCACAGACATCACCGAGAAGATGATTAGACTACCAACGAACCCGTGGAGCCAGAACCCGATGGAGGAAGAGCTGGGTAGATGGTTCAACCTCGGCCTCACGCATTGCTTGGAAGGCCTCACACTTGCGCCCTTTATTCAGGTGGAACGCTGGCCAAAACATGATGTGGACAGACTGGTGGACGATCTCAAGAAGGAAATCTGTCGACTCAATGTCCATGCCTACTGCAGAATGTAAGTTACCGCATGCAGACTACCGTCTGGTAGCTCCCAGCTTTTTTAAGATGCAGAGTACTGATTGCCGGACGCAGGTTCGTTTGGACGGCAAGGAGACCAATCCAAACGCAAACCCAATGATTCAAAAGTGGTCACTCAGACTGCCGAGGGTTACGTCACGTCCTACAGGATGGGGGCAGACTGCTGGCGAGTTTCCTGCCGTCACCCTCCCGTCGCATACTCATATCCAGAACGGGATAAGGCAAGCTAGTAACATTCGACACCCTACCGCCAAAGCAAGACATCTCAAGCGGAACGTCGGAGCGATTTGTCTTCTGTACCATCACTCTTCGTCTACTTGAACGTCAGACGTACGACTCAGTCGCTCTATTGCCGTCCTGCCAACAAGCAAGCGTCGTTGCTGCTACTCATGCGACATTTTGTTGAACAACTTCTCCATCGTCCTTTTTTGCTGTACGTCGTGGGAGTGCTGCATGTTTGCTTTCCCTCCTTCCCATCCCTTACCAAGATAGGCCTCCAGTCCTCGGCCGGCCAAGCGCGGATTAAGCGTGGCAAGATCGGGAGCTCCAGACCGCCAACTACCCCGATTCGTCTTACGGGCTTCATCGTCTTTTTCTGCTCGAAGTTTTGGACGCCCCTGTAGAGTACCGCCTGCCACTCGATTCGGCAAGCTCTCCCGCTTTGCTCTGGCCAGGCGTATATGGACACGACGAGGAATGCATCAAAACAGGCCATCAAGTTCTGCTTTTCTCTTTAGGCTATCTTGGTATCATGGACATTTTTTGCCGCGTTGTCTCCTTCTATTTTTCTTGTGTTTCGCAGGCTCGGCAGTCACAGACCGAGTTCGATGCTCCGCGGATTGGCCCCTTATTCTTTTTCTTTTTCCTTGGCCTTCCCCAGCATTACGCTCTAGCTCTGAGCTATAAAGTCGAATCTGAGGTAACACACGAGCGCAAACAATATTGTTGCCAAACAGCACATAGTCACAGTCGCTACACCTCTCTTGTCACTACATCATATTCTTTTTTTGTATACGGATTCATCGGTGGGGAAGAAAATGGGCCGGGTTTAACCAAAAGTTGATGGCGGCGCGGGCTTGGCAGCATTGCAGTTGGGCCGTGTTTTTTGCATAGTGCATACTCTGCTCTCTTTTGGTATGGAGCAGACTCAGGCTTGGGGCGTTGGATTTCATTATGCACGCTCCTGCGGATTGCAAGAGGGCGCGATGAGAAGAGTGGCCAGTGAGGGAGGGCATGTCAGCCAGCGGAGTATTGCACGTCATGTCTTTTGGCATGACCAATGTTAACCGGGATGGCTGTCACGTCCGCAACACAAGGGCTGATATGTGCGGCCACTAGTTTACTTCCCTCTACCTACCATATTATGATATATATATAAATAGAATCTGGCCATGATGGACGATAACCCAAACGAAGAACCACCAGAGCAGCTCTCACAGAGTTCGGTTATAGGTGAGGCGACCTGGAATCGCAAATTGAGTGGAAGTGGAAGGTGCCAACGGCCGTTACCAAACGTTATGCGGCCAGGAGGGTTTGTCATTTCCCTTCTACGTTCCTTCAGAGCTCGAACAAAATCAAATGCACCAGACAAGATAATAGAGTCAAGATTGGTCGACAGCTAGATATTATTCACTTACCCATCTCCACATCATCATATTGGCTTACATGGCTCCCGCATGCCCATCCGCATCATTCGATTACCCCTGTTGCCTCCCTCTCTTGTTGGTCTGTTGGTTGCTCTTGCTCCCCGCTTCCCCGTCCCGCCAATGGGATATTGCACTGACAACGTTACAGTCCTTCGTTGAGCCCTACTGGGTTGGGCAACAGCTGCATAGTGCGAAGGCCAGGATAGGAACTTCGCTGTGTCTGCCAACATTTGAACAGCAAAGCAATAAACCCTTCTCGAGGTAACGTATGTAGGAGCCGGCACACCGATACTCAATGACATGGGGAACCTGAGCATCGTGCAATGGGTCTCATGCTGCGAGCCAACGTTCTTCTCGGCCGCCTCATGCTGTTGTTCCATGGCGACACGTTGCAGGCGAGGAGGCACTGAGGGCTGTGTCTTCATCTTCTTGGTGATCGACCACGTTGATGAGGTACGTATCCCTTGCTCATATTACCCTGTGTCCTGCGTGGGCCGCTTATAATACGCAGTAGTCTCAAGATATTTGACTCTGTTCAGTTTGCTTGTCTCCGGCTCGGCTCTTTTTTCTGAATTATCTCGCTTACACAGGGAGACAGGACACGCTCTTTCCCCGAAGTGAAGTTGGGCAAACGTTCCCTCTCCGTTGAGGCTGCCAACCAACGCCCCGACCCGCATCAAGCCAGCAAGCTACATGTACCCTCGACGTACGACTTGCATGACGGAGAGGAATCCCGCCGCCCCGAGCCTGCAGTCTACATGTTGGCTGGATTGGCGGATCTCCTTATGATACGCTACGAAGTACGATGTACTCTACACCCAGACTTGCGCCCCCTCTTCGCTCTCCACACACACACACACACACACACACTTGTATGTCATATGCATGCGAGCACACACCAACACTTCTTTATACTTATCACTACTGCCCCTCCCTTTTTGGGACCTTGGCCCCCATCTTCTTTTGTAACTGGGCACCCATCGAACGCCCGATGCCCGGATCCGGGAACACGGATCTCGAGATGAGTGGTTCGGGTAGAAAAGGAAAAGTAGCATTGAGCTAGTTTTTTCTGCCCAATCCTACACATCGATATGTGAGTAAAGAAGAGGAGCTAGAGGGAGAAAAAGACAGATGTAGGCTGCAAGATTGTGGAAACATGTATCGAGCTTCCTCCCCGTGCCAGTCCATCACCGCAGGGCCTCTCTCCTCCTCCTCTTCTCCATCCCTGCCTTTCTCTTTTTTCTTCGCCTTTGTCTCTCCACAAGAAGCTGCGTACTTGCCCAACCAAACTAGAGACCGGTCTAGGTCTCGATTCTCGGCCTCGGCCTCGGACCGGGGGGTTGGTGATGAGTGATGAGGGGCCGCCTACAACGAGGCCCCGCCACGCTGGTGCCCAGAACCTGGGATCTACCTTTCTTGTCTCATGCGGGAACAACTGGCTCTGCAGGATCATAGAGGTAGGTGAGAGGCGACGATTGGAAGGATGGGGGATGAGGCACCCCAGCCTCTGGTGTTATGTTTCTTTCTTCTCGGGCGTTTCTTTCGTAGGATCGCGTATGCGATTACCTGGGACACGAAATTTCCCATGCTGCCAACGAGACGTGGGGAGGGGTATGTTCATGGGGCGTGGGGCATTATGCATGAAGGGGCGCGCGAGCGAGCGGACGGGCGTTGGCCGTCTGCCAGGGAGGTGTCCAACGAGAGGTTCTTGAGTTCGGAGATGGCGGAAGCGGTACCGGAGGACTGTCATGCGTGTTTTTAAGGGGGCGAGACATTTTGCTTTGATGGTGCTTCTAAACCGAATGATCTCGAACTATGTGGTCATGCATGATACGGCGGTGTGTGTTTCGTTGGATTTCTGTTTCTGGTCCTTCGTCTTTACCGCCTTAGAGGGAGAGGGAGAAAAATAACTTCGTTCCATTACCTTGGATCAAGGGAAAACCTGGTACTAGCATCTTGTTCGAGATAGCCTTGCCTCCTTTCACCAAGAAAAACTTCACTTGGGACTACGCTTCATGTTTTGTTCCGAGACTCTATCGCAAGATTTTTTATCACCCTCGATGAGTGTGCTACAGTGAAAACCCATACGCTCGGCGAGGATTAACTAGTAAACCAAGAATACTACTCCTGAGCTTAATGCCTCAGTTCTCCCGTTCCCGGGACAGAGTTGGGTCATATAGGGTATTCTGCCTTTGTGAAGAAGCTCTTGGGTAGTTTGGTATTTGCAAGTTTCGTTGCCGAGAACTTGGGTAGCTCCAGACCTGAGCGTTTGTCGCCTTTTTTTTTCTTCTGTTTTCTCGGGTATCACAACAACGAGTTCTGAAGACATGGATGGACACGTTTGAGTGTTTCAGTATTCTCTCTTCCAGCCTTTTCCTCATCTTTGCGCAGTAGTGAGGTTAAATCGGTCATACAAAGGATCAGGAGAAATGGTGGATCTGCATCATCCCTACCTGTAATAGTATCTACATCATGATTACCATGTCCCAGTGGTTACTATGGAACAGGCCATGAGCCTCTTAGTAGTGGCGAGTACACCTGGCCAATATCTTGACAGTTTCAAAACAAAATGCGCAGGCCATCAACAAGAGAAAAAAAGGAGACCGGCCAGGAAGACCTAGCAAAACATGCGCTCGTTTGCAGAATCCCTAGGATGTCCCAAGACTTTTACAAATCCCACTGGGTTCTCTATCAGATCTCGCTGATCACCATAAAACCTCCCCCTCCCCCCCTTCAAGAGACCATTTACCTCTTTCGGCAATGTTCAGGGGGTGTTAAAACGGTCTGTTTGTTCTTTCCCTTCCATTCCGACCCGAGGGAATGGTAAAAGGGGGCCCAGACATGGGGGGACCAAAGTCCCCAAACATTTGGGTTCCGTAAGGCTACTCGTGGGATTCTCTTCCTGGTAAACCATCCATGGAAACGTTTTGCCCGGAAGGTTGGTTGGTACAGCTTGATCCTTCTATGCTACGCCGCCGCCAAGAGGAGGAGGGGGAGTGAACAGAGGGGGCGTCGATCCAGAAACAATGTCAATATACGCCACCATGCAGGATTGAGGCGTCTAGATAGTTGGCAGCGGTATGTATTCGATGAGATGGGGGGCATGGAATCTGGGGGCTGCGTGGGAGTACGAATACGGGATCATGTGGCAAACGGCACGGGCCTCGAACGGGATTCGGCGGGTGAGGTGAAGGTAAGAGCGGTCGGCATGCGGCGCAAAGTTGGGATGGAGGGACTTTGAATCACTCCCTATCTGCTTGAAGTACCATGGACAGCAATCTGGTCAAGGGGTTGATAGGGGGAGGGGTTTCAATGAGGAGAACAGAGGATCCTCT